AGTAGTAGTAGTCGTAGTAGTAGTAGTAGTAGTAGAAATCGTGGTAGTAGTAGTGGTAATAGTAGTAGTAGTCGTAGTGGTAGTAGTAGTAGTAGTCGTAGTAGTAGTAGTTGTAGTAGTAGTAGTAGTAGTAGTAGTCGTAGTATTGGTAGACGTAGTGGTAGTGATCGTAGTAGTAATAGTAGTAGTAGTAGTAGTAGTAGTAGTAGTAGTAGTAGTAGTAGTAGTAGTAGTAGAAGTAATAAAAGTAGTAGTAGTAGTAGTAGTAGTAGTAGTAGTAGTAGTAGTAGTAGTAGTAGTGATAGTAGTAGTAATAGTAGTAGTACAAGAAGAAGACGACGAAGTAGTATCATTATTTTTATCAATAAGACTAGTATTACGAATTGTACTAGTAGTAGTCGTCGTAGTAGTAGCAACAGTAATAGTAGCAGTAGTAACCGTAGTAGTGGTAGTAGTAGTACTCGGAGTAGTAGTCGTCGTAGTAATAACAGTAGTGGTAGTGGTCACCGTAGTATTCTTATTAGTAGCCGTAGTCGTAGTAGTCGTAGTAGTAGTCGTAGTCGTCGTAGAAGTAGTAATAGTAGTAGTAGTAGTCGTAGTAGTAGTAGTAGTAGTAGTAGTAGTAGTAGTAGCAATCGTAGTAGTAGTAGTGGTAGTAGGAGTAGTCGTAGTAGTAGTAGTAGTATTAGTAGTAGTAGTAGTAGTAGTGGTAGTAGGCGTAGTAATAGTTAGAAACCACATTAGTAAGTGAAGGTAGTAATAAAGGTAAACGTTATTGGAATAAGTAAATATAAGTAGCCGTTAATGGAACAAACCATACTAAGAACAATGGAGGCAATAATCAAAGTAGTGGAGGCCGTGGTCGTGGTATTGGTAATCGTAGTTCTTGCGGTAGTAGCACCAACATTGATAGTACGGCACATATACGGAACATATGCGACATAAACACAGAGCGTGTACGAGACACAGACGAAACATACCCGACGCGTGAGCATAACTACACAACACACCCACGCCATTATACAACACGTGTGCAGGCATGTCTGCGCAACAGATGCGGGACATCTACGGCACGTATATGAAGCATGCGCGCACCAGTTTCGACGCTCATGCGAGCCTGTACGACACAATTACTCATCATACACAAACCAGATGCGACGCATTTACCGCACATTCACTACCGCACATCCATACACATCGTATATCGAACAAAAACGACAATTGACTAAACGTGTGCAACATGCATACGCCACATATACACAAGCCGTGCACAAACGGTCCACACCCCGTGAACGAAATGTACACGAGATAATTGTAACAATCGTAGATCGCAGTAGACATAGTGGTAGTAGTAGTAGTAGTAGTAGAAGTAGTAGTAGTAGTAGTCGTAGTAGTAGGAGTAGTAGTAGAAGAAGAAGTAGTAGTAGTATCAGTAGTCGTAGTCGTAATCGTAGTAGTAGTAGTAGTAGCAGTAGTAGTAGTAGTAATAGTAGTAGTAGTAGTGGTAGTAGTAGTTGTAGTAGTAGTAGTAATAATAGTGGTAGTCGTAGTCGTAGTCGTAGTAGTAGTAGTAATAGTAGTAGTAGTAGTAGTCGTAGTAGTAGTAGTAGTAGTAGTA